GAAGGTGAGGTCCACTCTTTCAGCCAGGTCCCTGTCAGATACCCTGGCTTTCTTTCCTTCCCCATCCCTTGGAAGAGTGCTGCTCAGGGCTAAGAGGTGCTGATATAATCATCAACTCACCTGGAAGAGCTCCCGCTGGCACCCACGCTGTAGGACTTGGCTTCAATGCCATGAAGACAGTCCTTAAGAGAGGAGATGAGGACACGGCAACGCTCATCATTGGCAACCCGGGACTGTTTGATAACCGCAATGGCTGTGAGCAGCGTCTCAATCGCGTCACTGTAATCCCCTGACACGGGATGGATGGGAAAGGCCAAGGATGAGCAGAGGCAATAAACTAATTAGATCAAAAGGAGAACTCAGAAGGACACAAACCAAGTGACTAGCTGTCCCAAAGAACCATGGTAAAAAGACAAGGCAAACATAGCAAGTAAGTATAAAGTTGGATGACACCTATCTTCCAGTGGTTTAGAATCTGACAGATGTTGTCAGATGTCGCTAATGGATGTACAAACTGGTATATTGTTGTCCAAGGACTATTTGACAACATCTATTAAAATAAACAATGTACGTATTTTTTGACCCAGCAATTTTACTATATATTTTCTACTTCTGTTCAAAAGTGTGTGTCTTCAGTAATGTTTCAGTGTTATTTGTTATATTACCTTCAATAAAGTCTGGTTACATAAATTAAGGAACATTACTTTTACTGAATATTACATAGTTGTTAAAAAGCAAGGTGTAAATCTTTATGTAAATAAAGTAATCCATGTAAGGCACTTAAGCACAGTGCCAGGCACACAGTAAGGGCTCAATAAATGCTATATTATATACTGATATATTAGGTGTCCCAAATATAGTAATTAAAAAAAAGTTGCAAAACCACATTCCATTTTTATAAAAACAATCAAAATTATATATGTTGCTATATGCACAGAAAAAAATCTAGGGTATACACTAAATTGTAAAGGGTGGTCTTGTCCTGGTATAGATAGAAGACTTTCATTTGTTAACACTGCATTACTTTTACTGAATTACTCTTAATTTAATAAAATGTAATATAACCAAAAATGTGTACACATACGTTACATAAACATGTATATAAAGTATACATACATTTATACATAAATGTATACATTTTAAAAAAGTTATGCTGCCATCAAAAACTAGCCCTTTCAGGCTGGGCGAGGTGGCTCACGCCTGTAATCCTAGCACTCTGGGAGGCCGAGGCAGGCAGATTGCTCAAGGTCAGGCATTCCAAACCAGCCTGAGCAAGAGTGAGACCCCGTCTCTACTAAAAATGGAAAAAAATTGGCTAACTAATATATATAGAAATAATTAGCTGGACATGGTGGTGCATGCCTGTAGTCCCAGCTACTCAGGAGGCTGAGGCAGGAGGATGGCTTGAGCCCAGGAGTTTGAGGTTGCTGTGAGCTTGGCTGATGCCATGGCACTCACTCTAGCCTGGGCAACAAAGCGAGACTCTGTCTCAAAAACAAAACAAAAAAACTAGCCCTTTCATTCCTCAAATCTGACCAATGTCTGGCTCAGGGTTAGTGGTCATGGGGTAAATACTTGCACTTTGTTTTCCAAGCTAAGTCAGGAACAGAAGACATACAAAAAAAGCATGAATCCAGACAGGGGTCCAGTGAAGATGAGGACTGTGCAAGGCAGTAAGAATAGAAACTACAGAGGGACTGTGATCTTGTGGAGACCAGAGAACACCAGGACACCAGCTCCACCCTGGCAGCGAATTTTTGCCTGTTTTGTTGGCACATTCTACAACTATTTGTGGTCTGAGTGACTGGAATGAGAACCAAACAGCAAGGAGATAAAGATTCAGTTACTGATCATCTCAGTGTCGAGGAATTAGAAGGAAAGAAGGAATCATGATGATTTTCTTTATACTCCTCTGTATATTTGACTTGTCATAATGAGCATACATTACTTTTCTTTTTTATTTTTTTCTTCTAACTTTTCAATTTAAGAAGATTCACTTAGAGTTCACTGTAGATTTTCTAGCAGGGAAAAAAAATTGAACATATACATTTTCTGTCTTTAACTTACTCTGTGAATTCAAATTTTGTAGCCAAAGATGAGAAAATATGGAAAACAGATATTTAAAACTAACATATTTCTTAGATCCAAGTCTACAGACATTTACATTCAGGTGGGGTACTCACAGGAAGAAGTGAATATGGCAAATGGCATGATGTAAAAACTGGACCAAAACCCTGAAACTTACTAAAGCTTCTTCTTTTAGGAACCACAGATTTTATGGCGAGGGCTTCCAGAATCATGACTGCTAGTTCTGCCCACTTAATACTGAGAACAGGGCAAAAGTTAGCTGTAAGGGTATATAATATGCCTTAAAATGATGCCCAACAGACTTGCCTCTTTCTAGGATACGCCACATGGATGCCATCAGCTCTGCTTAGACTCCTTAATGTAATCATTATCATATAATAATCCATATCAAACCATCATTTAGTCAAGGCATCATTTCTAAAAACCCAGGCTCTAACTTAGCACTGGGTCTACTACACAGACACTAGATCTAAAGATCAACCACTGAGATCAATGGTTGATTCCCTGAAGCAGGAATTTCATTCTATGACAAATATCACAATGAGATGGTATTTATTATTTATATTCTAGGCACTAAGTTGGTTTTCATGTAGGCAGGTCTACACACAGGATAAATAAGCAATACCACTGGAGCTTTCCAAAAGCCAAGAAATCAGGTTGCACATATTGCTCTGCAAAGTGTGCCACTCTTGATATTTAACAGTGCTCCAACTTTTATCTTGTTGAACTTTTGCCAATGGAAATGACAAAATCAGGGAAAAAACTAAAGGTAAGGAGAAAACAGCAAAGGTAAGTGTGAGTTACCTGCACTGGCTCCAGATACAGCTTTGGAAATGGCACTGCTAGAAATTGCTCTGTTTCGCTTCATGATCTCTTCAAATTCAGCTTCGCTCACTGTAGAGGGTGGAGGGCCCGAGTCTCGGCTGCACAGAGATAACACCATTCCTGATTGCCCACGCTCATCATTATTTTTACCATCTTCTATAGTTCAATGTTATTTAATTATAATTATTTACTGTGTAATGTCTTAAATGGTTCCCAGCCTATTCATGTGTTTTGTATTCATATTCTCATTAAAGACAGAATTTGGCCGGGCATGGTGGCTCACGCCTGTAATCCTAGCACTTTGGGAGGCTGAGGCGGGAGGATTGCTCAAGGTCAAGAGTTCGAAACCAGCCTGAGTGATACCCCATCTCTACTAAAAATAGAACAAAATTAATTGTCCAACTAAAAATATATATACAAAAAATTAGCCAGGCATGGTGGCGCATGCCTGTAGTCCCAGCTACTTGGGAGGCTAAGGCAGTGAGCCCAGGAGATTGAGGTTGCCTGAGCCCAGGAGACTGACGTTGCTGTGAGCTAGGCTAACGCCACGCACTCACTCTAGCCTGAGCAACAAAGTGAGACTCTGTCTCAAAAAAAAAAAAAAAAAAAAAAGACAGAATTTATGTCATATACTTTTATAATTTGGATGACCCAATAGTGCTAGACATTTGTAATAGCTACTTATGGCACTCAATTTAATTAAACTCCTTAGAGGTGTTATGGTTTGGGTCAAGTGGTTAAGATGCAATCAAAACACAAAATAAAAATACTAACAAAATAGATAGTAAATTATTTTTACTAGGACTCAACACTATGACAACAGAGTATCCATAAGGGAAAGCACAAGGATTCAGTGCTTACTTCCTTAGGGAGAACAAAATGAATAACACACTTGTCTACCCTACTATATCTTGGCTCAAATCTCAAAGGAACAAAACAGTCCTTACCTGCCATGATGGTTATAGGGTGCAGAGGCCTTCATGTAAGTATCTGGTGGAGGCCCCACTGTAGCATTTGGTGGGGGGAAGAAGGCTGGATTGAGGTGAAGGGCAGGTGGGATAGCCCCAGGGGGAGGTACGGCAAGATGAGGAGGTAATCGAGGAGGGGGGGGCATGAGATGCTGGTAGTGGATACCAGGAGGAGGAGGAGGGACCCCAAAGCTTGAGGAGAGAGGTGGTGGGGGTGGAATTGGTGGTGGGGGCAGACCCATCAAGGGAAGGGCTGAAGGAGGGCGATTGAAGTAGGGCAGCACACTGGGGGGCTTATCCACACGAGCGGATGAGGGTACAAGGTTCTCAGAGGGTGTGGCCCGTCCATCAGCAGAATCACTAGAATCTCGGGAGTGGGCCCGTGGAGGTATTCCTATGAAGCAAAACAAAACTAACATTACTGCCCAGGCTTTAGACAGACCCACAGGACCAGCTCATCCTTCAGCAAGAGTCATCTGACACCATACAAAAGAAGGTGACTGAAACAGCTGAGAAACGAGGTAAAATCATCTATTGCCCCTTTTCTTTGGCTTCAAAGAAAAAGGTCGGAAGCAACTCAGTGGAGACATAGACCCAAGAAGCAATACAACTCTAATCTTGTCAAAGAATGCTTTCACTCAGAACTTTCAAAGTGCTTTACTTTATCCTTCTATTTTTAAATGCAGCAAGATCCTAATAACCCACAATGAAATGACAGTGTTTAAGTATGTTTGCTGATGCTCAGCTGGATTCCAGCTGACTTGAAATCACAACCCTGAAGAGTTTCAGGGTAGTACTTACTAGTTGACCTTCTCCATCACAGCACACTGTGATGTTCTCTTGGCCAGAGTGCTTTGGCTAGAGAATTTGGGGGAAAAGAGGGAAGGACAGGAAATGAATGGCACGTCTATCCACATACCAAAACTGGTAATTGGGGTAGGAAAGAGACACACATGAAGAGTAGAAGACTGGAGGTTAAGTGAGAAGAGAATATGGGAGATAAGCCAAGAAAAGATATGCCCTGAGCAGATGGCACATAGCTGGCAGCAAAGACTCTTGGCAAAAGTCTGGTACAAAATATACCTTAAATCTGGGGAATTCCCACTACATTTCAATGGCCTAATTTTTTTTTTACCATTCAGGGCAGCCTAACAGGAACAGCATGGCATGCTAGTACGGTATCGTGCAACACAGGGGCTCAGAGTATATTTTATATAGCTGGACATATGGCTTTTGACATTGTTAAGTCACTTGGTTAAACTTGTTCCCTCTTTCCAATTTACCAGTCTAAGCCTGTTCATGTGGAAGGCAACAGAAAAACAAGATAACATGGTTTGGGGAGTCTTGGAGGTGGAAAGATGCCACTGGCAGCAATTGTGGAGGGAAAGAAGAGTGCTACTTAAACTAAAACTGATAGTTAGTTAATCCCAACTCCTGAGTAAAGCCTAAAGTGGGATCAACTAACCTGACAACCACCTTGATTTCTCTATTACAGAATATTGCCAGTACTTGTGAAAGCACTCTCTTGCTCTTCGTCTTAAACACATTACAACCTGTTCCTTCCTCGAATTCTCTCAAATTGAAGAAAGAAGAGATTTTAGGCAAGTGTGATCCTCTGACAATTAACCACCTTCCCAGCTACTGTTTCCACAACTGCAAGTGTTCTGTTTTGTATCTATGGCTACAAGTCCCAAGACAGGCAACCATTTTTAAGCAGAGGAAGTCCACCAGCTTTACTTAGTGAATTTACAGAGCCCAAGTCCAGCAACATGACAGACCAGAAAAACAGCACTCAGTCACCATCATCTTTTCAGCCAAGAAAGGTAACAGTGAGGAGTAAACAGCTAAGCAGAGGTAGGAATGTTATCCCCAAAGTAGCTGTAAAATTATGCACCTTAAGAAAGTCAGAAAAGGGTTGAATTACAGAAAGACTCCAAAGCAGAAGGGACTCGAAAAGTTGTCTAGGAAGAAAAATGTGTGCCTTCTAATGTGGAGCCACAGGAGCTCACAACAAATCCACCTAGGTTCTCAATCTAGTTAAAAGAACAGCTATTCCTATGCAAGAGAGAAATGGCCATTATTTCCACCTGGAGGACACACCCATTCAATATAACGCATTATTTTGAGAGTTGGACCTCAGCAGTGACAGAATGTGGGTTATGAAACTTTTCCTCCCACTGTAGTAAAAGAAAAGTAAAGGCGGTTGGCTGTCTCAGGCAGGGCCTTGGAGAGTAGCTGCACCTTGAGAGGTCAGGACAATTCAAGGTCTGGTCCTCAGGTTTTGTAGGTTCAGAAACTTTGATTTTAACAAGTTCACCCAGGGGTGATCGGACCCTAGGAGACTGATTCATGCTAACCAAACTCACAAGAGACTGATTCATAAATCAGAATACCAATTTATTAATTTACAATGAGAAATATAACTGCCAAGCAGACCGGAATACTTGTGTCGGCTGGTCAGCGCATTCTCTTCCCAGTAGGAGAGCCTAGTTGGGAAACCAAATTAGTATCAGAAGGTGGCTTGGTGAGTACAGAGTCAGAATAAAGGGAGTAAGATGAACTTCAATGATACTGTCATCAAGCTAAAGTAGTATGATGCAATTTTCTTTACTAATGGGACATACTTGCCAAGCAGACTAAAATATTTGGTAATCAAAAGAGCACCCTTTCCTCTGGACAAAGCTGGAGAAATATTGTTAAATTTGTATTCTCCAACACTCCTTTTGGTTCATTCCTTACAGAGCACCCTTCCAATGTATGTTTATGAAAAGATTACAACCACCTTTATATATCCTAGTTACATCTTAGGGTGGCTGCTTCTTGACAGTTTATAGAGGCATGTCTTAAAATTAAGCACATTCACTGTATTCCCATTTTTAGATAGAAACACAGAATTTGGAGTTGAGAGGAAGTTTAAACATCATGTATCTAGTTCAGATGGGGAAACAAGCCCTAAGCAAATAAAGTGACTTGCCCAAGGTCACACAATGAGTTAGTGGCAGAACCAAACTATAATCTGAACCTACCTGACTGTCAGCACAGTGCTCTTTCTTCTACATAAACCTTATTTTTTGGACTACCTACTGACCACGCCACCACCCATAACCACCATAACCCTCCCTCAAACTCTCCACACTGTAGGCTGAGCCCACACTACCGAAAACAAACCCACAGACTTCCCCCCCTTCATACAGATGGTCTCCACGTACCCCCTCTTGGGACTCGGACGCACTCACGTTTCCGAGCCTGTGCCTCAAACTGTGACAGGTTCTGCCGGGTGGCCGGCCTCACATCCACTTTTTCTCCATTAAGAACTTTTCCTGGCAGGAGTTCCAACAATTTGTGGACAGAGTTTTCAGAGGCTACCACCACCTCAGCATACCTTTAGGAAGAAAAATTTTAAATCAGTGAAATCTACCAGATAACCAGAAGAGGAACAAAGAAATTCTATTCCACTTTTAGTGAAACTAGGTAAAGAAAAGGACATCTTGCTAAATTAAGCATACATACACACACACAGCACTATGAATAACAAAAAGTCAACCTATAATCTTCCCATTTTTTGGAATTAAGAATCAAGTGTTCTTTGCCCCTCAATAAATGGATGTTCTACTAAATTTTGCTGGGTTCCCCTCTAATGCAGCTTGCCAAAACCAAGGCAATAAGCTGGGCCATGGGTGGGAGGGATTAAAATCTAGGGCCAAAATATAATGCAGATCTGTTATCCTAATAGTTACAAACTAAAAGGGCTTCTCAAATCCAGACCTCACCCTTTGGACTGGCCATTTGCTCGATTCTCTGCAAATTTCAACTCCACCACATCATAGACTCCTATAGAGCGAATAACCTGGATCAGCTGCTGGTCTGTGGTCCACTGGGGCCGGCAAGATGGAAAAGGAAGAAATGTCAAGAGCTACACCCCCAGCCCTGCCCCGAACATCCCAAACCCAGCTCCCAAACCTAGGATGCTAGTCAACCATGACCTCCCAACAGGAAACCCAAAAGCCCAGCAATATCTCAATTAGTGCAGACTTTTCTTTCTGTTCTCACCCATACAGAATTCCAACCCCCCCCCCCATCCCCATCTATAGTGATTAAAAAGATTGAAACCTATTTCAACTGCGACTGCCATTTGGGCTGGCTGGTCATCAGTTCAAACACTGATTGCTAGCAACTATTAATTACAGATCTGATAGGCTAGAGTTGACCACTGCCAGAACTTTCCCCTCAATATCTACATTTCCTAATTTGGAAACACCATCCCCACCACCAGCCCCAAAATATGTCACACTATAACTTTTGTAGAACAATAGTCACCACCTACCCCAAATGCACTAGAGCTATCAAGGTCTTTGATCCCCATCACCCACCATTATCACAGGACCATCTAATGACCACCAAGAGTTCAAGGTGTTCACTCTGAAATCTCGTCCCACAGATGACCCTGCTAGACATAAAGCCCCAGGGTCAGGGGCAGTAACAAGATGGCAGAAAAAGCAACTACCCACTTAATCATTGCTTTCTTCGGCACCAGTACGTCCTCAGGATAGTTCTCTTTCAGAGATCAATCCAACCTGATCCCAGGAAAAAGAAATCCAACCCCATCAGAGCACAAAACAGTGCAACAGTGGTATCTGAAAATGCCATCACCTCCCAGTGCTCTCCCTCCAGCCCACCCATTTTGGTTACCCACACTCACCCAGGAAAAGCTGCCCACATAGACGGCAGCTCGCCTATTACGCAGGCCACTGTAGGTATACAGGATTGCAGGGGTCTTGTCGTTGGGCTTGGGAGATGGCTCCTGGCGAACAGGAGGAGGTGGCTCAGTGCTGCTGCTTCTGTCATCTGAAGGCTGTGAGGTGGCCGTCAACACATCATCATACAGGTCAATTTGATCTGTATTGTTGAACTCTGGGTCCTAAGACATGAGAGGTTGGCAAAGGTGGGTTTGCATACCATTCATTTTGTTCATTGTTTCACTCTAGTTGATTTAGAATCCACAGTCAAATACTTTGTAAAACAAAGTACAAAACCTCCTTGTCCTACTCTGGGAATCAAGGTAGGAAAAACTTCCTTTTGAAACAGTATCACTAAATTATGTTTATGTAGGCTTTTCTCCAAAGATCTGTTAGTAGTCTGTAACTTTTTTTAGCTTTAGCCACCTGTGAGAATCAAAAGGCACAAGATGATTAAGCAAGCAAAGTAAGAATGCATAATGAGATGCATGTGTTACTGTTATCAATGAGGTCAGCTTCTACAGACCACATCTAAGATACAACAATGGAAATGTATTTTCAACATCTTATGGTATTTCTAAAATGAAGTGTTACCAAAAACTCACTATTCTATTTAGTAAGAAACAGAGTAATTTTATCCAGAAATAGAAAGCAGGGGAAAAGCATGTTAAAGTGAGTTCCAAAATTCCAAAAAGACTGAGAGTTACTGATTTAAACCCTTTGGTTTATACAAATGAATTAGGGAGGCTTTAAAGCTCACAGTACACAATTCCATCTTTCTAATAACCATCAAAGAAACATTAAAAACAAAAGCAAATGGAAAGGGAATATCATTGGGGGTTTTCTAAATTCCATTTCTCAAATGACATGCAGACTCAACAGACTACCAGGACATGTAGGACATGTATCTAAAAGACAACAAAGATAAATCAGTGGCTAGGTGTAGTGGCTCACGCCTATAATCCTAGCACTCTAGGAGGCTGAGGGGGGAGGATCGCTCAAGGTCAGGAGTTTGAAACCAGCCTGAGGAACGGCGAGACCCCGTCTCTACTAAAAATACAAAGAAATTAATTGGCCAACTAAAAATATATAGAAAAAATTAGAAAATAGCCAGGCATGGTGGCACATGCCTGTAGTCCTTGGGAGGCTAAGGCAGAAGGATTGCTAGAGCCCAGGAGTTTGAGGTTGCTGTGAGCTAGGCTGACACCATGGCACTCTAGCCCGGGCAACAAAGTGAGACTCTGTCTCAAAAAAAAGATAATCAGTGATGTACAAAAACAGATAACATTGTCTAAAATATAAAGGCCAGAAAACAAGACAAGCACCTATATAAGCTGTGTCACAGTTGTGGATTTACAATATGAATATGTATTCTGGAAAATGTGAGATATATATATTTTGCCTCTGTGATATATTACTATATACTAAAACCCCTAAAACCACAACTGCAACAACTGCTACAAGGGACCGTAATGTTTCAGATTTTATAATGTAATTATCTCAGAGAAATCTTTTTATTTTAAGAGTCACAACAGTATTTTTATTACAAGAATCAGAAAAAACATTCAAACAGTGCTAAAGAGGCTGCTGCTAAAATAACCAAGACAGTCAGAAGTTCAAAGTGTTTTAAGGAAACTACAGCTTGTTTATGTCAATGCTATCTTTTAAATGAGGGAATAAAGGAGGTACTTAAGTTAGGTAACTTGTCTAGTTCCCTAAAGAAACAGTCAGTTCCTCTAACGCAACTCAGGACAAGGGCTCCAATAACTATCCCCCTTCAATATCATCACAAGAACTGCTGATCCTGAAGGGAGACTAGAGAGGAGAGACTCAATACAAAACTTACTCTTAGGCCAGGCGCGGTGGCTCACACCTATAATCCTATCACTCTGGGAGGATCACTCAAGGTCAGGAGTTTGAAACCAGCCTGAGCAAGAGCGGGAACCCGTCTCTACTAAAAATAGAAAGAAATTAATTGGCCAACTAATAATATATAGAAAAAATTAGCCAGGCATGGTGGTGCATGCCTGTAGTCCCAGCTACTCGGGAGGCTGAGGCAGGAGGATCCCTTGAGCCCAGGAGTTTGAGCCCTGGAGTCTGAGGTTGCTATGAGCTAGGCTGACGCTACAGCACTCTAGCCCGGGCAATGGAGCAAGACTCTGTCTCAAAAAAAAAAAAAAGCAACCCTTACTTTTAGACCTTTTGTAATCCTCACATCATCACAAACCTTTGGAAACAATCTTTTATTTTCTCAGTTAATCTGAAGTACAGTAGAAGAAAATATACTATGATCTTGGATTGTTCTGATAGTGAAGGAGAAAGGATTCTACTTCTTGAAGCATGTAAATAATTACAAATATTATAAACAGTCTAAGAAACCCCAAAAGAGAAGGCTTAAACCTTGTAAAAACATTAGAAATGGCAAAAGAGAGTGAACTTCTTTTTGTATACAATTCACCAGGAGGACCCAGGGAAAGAGTAAACTTTTTAGAGGCAACTTAAAAACAAGAAAAGGAATCAGTCAAGCAATAAGCCCAGAAAGACTATTTTAGTAATCAAACATATAAATAAGAATCTTTCATTAAAAAGGGTGAGCAGGTAAAAAATGGGGAAAGAAGCTACACTGGAGAGTACAGGGTGGATAAATAAATTGAGTAAGGTGAGGTCGGCTAGGACTAATAACATGACAGTGTGTAGGTAATCTCCATAAAATACTGCACAGTTCTTATGTCTCAAACCATCCCAAGTCTAGACAAATCACTTATCTATTCATGTACCAGGTATGGTGAGTTATCCTTGTGGTTCAAAGTAGAGAAAGTCTTATAAGTCACCTGTCCCTATCCAATGCTCTCATCCTTAAAGAGCACTACCTCATACCAACGGTATTTATTTATTTTTTTTTAAATCAAGGATTTTCAAATGAACATAAGAAAATACTCAATCTTGGATAATCAATGGAAACAAACTGAGGTTCCTTCCATGCTGTATCTGTAATTCAGAGTATATGTAAGGTTGTTATACAAAAATTATCACTGAAAACTGCATAGTGAACATGCAGATTTGGACAGCTCAAAGACCAAATACATCACTAGGAAATCCTTCATATTGTAAGCTTAGGCAACCAATCTACTCTTAAGACTTAAAGAGTTGATTCAGGAGAACCCTGGTGTATGATTACTACTTAAACAAAAGGATTCAATCAATCCAAAATTGTCACAAAATTCAAATGGTCTCTTTGGGCCATAGAGGCTCAGTTCAAAAAGGTTGGTGAGAACTGTACATGGCAGGCCTTTTGAGGGTTCTACTGAAGAAATAAGGTACCAAGTAGTGTTTGGATTTAAATCTGCTAGCATCACCAACTCATTTTATTTGTTCAGCTGGTATAGACAGAAAAATAGATAAAGGCCTGAGGTTTTTCTGGTGATTTATGCAGTGACAGATTCGGTTAAAGCAAAACCTAATTCTACAAATCAAGACGAAAGTACTATGTTTTACAGGAACTGATGTTGAAAGTTTCATTCCAGGGAGATCAAACAGGAAATATGTATTTAATACTGAATGAAAATTTCAGAAGAATTTTGTGTTCAATAGCACAGAAAGAACTGTGACTGCTTCTTTGTAAACAAAAGGGAACTGGTGTGATTTTCAATTCAAATAAGATCTTCCCCACCTGTATGCTCAATGTTCCTATCCTAACAGCCCCCTCTTCCTGGTATCTGACTGAGGTAAAAAAACTAGCCTAGGATTAGTCTCAAAGCTATATACCACTGATACCATTGTTTCTTTTCCTTGTAACCACGGCTCAATTAAAGTTTCTGGCTTTACAATGACTATTTCCACAATTCTCACCTCATACCTTCCTTCCATCTCTATACTTCTTACCCTGCATTATCACTGTCCATCACCCCCAACCCACCAGGACTAGAACCTGTTTTAAGAACAGGGATATACTTTTTTTCCTTTTACCTTACTAGGCCAGGCAAAGTGCTTAGCAAACAGAAACAGCTCAATAAATACTTCTTGATAGAAGCAACAAAGAGACCGGGGCATACTGTGCAAAGCCCGTCTCAGTAAGAAAAGAAACAGAGACAAAACATTCAGCAGAGTGACAGCTCTCAGTCACTTTTCCAGATTTGTTCTCGCTAGCCCAAGGGAGCCACTGTAAATCCCAGGATTCCCAAAGAGAAATAATGTAGCTCTGTCAAAGAGGCTTTTGCAGCAAATGCTGTAAGAGATCAGGGAATAAGCACCATAGGATTCCATCTAGGAAAAATGTTAATTTTCCTGGAGGAACAAAGTGCACACGAGGGGGTTCTCATGCATGAGCCAGCTTGGGATGAATTAATAACATTCTTAAAACATACTAAAACAATTTTACTGGCTGCCTTCAGTCTAAGCCAGCTTCTAACAATTCTAGCCAGACAAAGTTTTTATCATTTCTTTAGCAGCTTTCAGATCACATGAAAATCAACTTTGCCAAAAAGTAACACATTTGTGTAGGGGGGTGAGTGCCATTCTCCCCACCTTCCATAAAACATATTATATTCAAAATCCATACTTTCTTCAACTTGCCCAATGTCAAATATTCCCTATTTGGTATAAATATCTACTGGAGTCTAGATACTATCTTTGGCCAGTCTTAGACCCATAAAAAAGTCCTTTTAAACTAAAGAAACCAGAGAAAAATTGTTGAGGCCAATAACTTCTACTGTGACAAATCAGTGGCCACTGGACATGGCCTGTGTCTTGTCTGACCTACAAATTTTAGTGCTTAAGAAATTATGAAATTTCATTTTGTCAGACCAAATGTGGCCTATGGTTAAGGTCCCTGTTCTGCCTATTTCCCAAGGTGAACCAGCAGTGTTGTTATCAACCCAAAGATAAGAATTCAGGGAGAAAAAGCCTTTCATTAACAACAGTGGAATTAAGGGACTCTTCTTTTTTTTTTTTCCTTTTTTTAATTTTATTTCGGCATATTATGGGGGTACAGATTTTAAGGTTTCAATAAATGCCCATTTCCCCCCCTCGACTCTGCTTTTTTGTTATCTTAAAAAACAAAACCCCATAATTTGCAGAAAGTAGTAAAAGTCTCACTCAAAGGAATATAGAAAACTCAGAAAAGCAATGGTTTTGTTAATAAATTAATATATTAAACCCTGTCCTCTTACCCATAAATATTTAACTTGTTTGAAATTAAAAAATCTTTATCACATATTTAACACAATCAACAGCCAAATTTAGATGACTCCACAGTTTACCAGGAGACACAGGAAAACTGCTATTAAGAAGTATAATTGGTGAAGCTGTATAATGGGTAGATTTCATTACACTATTCTACCTCCGTGTACACTTTATTTTATTTATTTTTTTTTTTGAGACAGAGTCTCACTTTGTTGCCCAGGCTAGAGTGAGTGCCGTGGCGTCAGCCTCGCTCACAGCAACCTCAAACTCCTGAGTCAAGCAATCCTCCTGCCTCAGCCTCCCAAGTAGCTGGGACTACAGGCATGCGCCACCATGCCCGGCTAATTTTTTCTATATATATTAGTTGGTCAATTAATTTGTTTCTATTTATAGTAGAGACGGGGTCTCGCTTTTGCTCAGGCTGGTTTCGAACTCCTGACCTCGAGCAATCCGCCCGCCTCGGCCTCCCAGAGAGCTAGGATTACAGGCGTGAGCCACCGCGCCCGGCCTGTGTACACTTTAAAATCTCCATGTTAAAAAGCCATAATGCATCAAAAATTTTTTAAATGTAAACTTATGTGGAAAAAAATGGCATTTATCAGCCTCTTCTGTTGCTTCATATCAAAGTCAAAGCTCAACCAGAGCACTTTCCTTCTCTAGCCCATTCATTACATGCTCCTTCCAGGTCCTTATGTGTAGCCACTGGAAGATGTCAATGGCAAGGACCAGCTTATGTAAGTACAATGATGCTGAAAATAACCCAGGTAAGATATTAGTAAGTTTTAAATAAAGACTTTGGAACATTCTTGAGATTTGACCTCAAGATGGCAAAACTAAACTGTATAGATATTGTTTCAAGGGGAACTTTTGTATGATGCTCTCTGATACAATAAAAACATCAAGAGACCAACAAACCCAAGTTAGGGTAAGTAAGTGGGTCTATGCCTGCCTTTTAAATGGTCTGATACCTTTACCCTTTATCTCTTCCTAGAAACAGTAAGGTTGATCAATAACATTTATTTTACCAAAATGCCTATGGACTTCTCATGACTGGAGACAAGCTACTTATAAAAGTAAGTAAAACTTAAAACAATTGGAATGGGGCTGAAACTAAACGTTAAAGAATCTTGTTTACTGTGACTCTGCACCACTACAGGGGAGAGGACTACATTTCTCCCTTGCAATCTGAGAGAATCACATAAAAGAACAGGCATCAACATTGTCCTCATTAATAAATACTGTAGCAAATTCTGGTTTTTAAGTGTGATCAGTCTTTGAGGAGACTGACATCCAACTTTGGCTTCCTGGGGGAGCAAGTTCCACAGGTTGATTCACCATTCTATTACACCTGATTTTTATGTACTCTTAAATCACAGCCTTTAAAGTTAAGCCTGGAGGTTCGAATTAACATAAAGCGGGATGGTGAGTAGTTTTTTACAGTCTCTGCTGGGGGAAAATTTTAGATCTGGCAGAGGAGAGCCCAACTCTAGGACTGGGGCAACTGGCACAGCTCGAAACCACTGCAAGTTTGCTGGAAGTGATTCCTTAGCTGATCGAGGGAAATCCCAAAGCTCCTCATGACCCCTCACCTGGTTGAACTCCTCGTCAGCGTATATATCAATCAAGTCCACTCCTTCTGACATGGCTCCGAAAGGAAGATCTCGAGCCGGGAGAATGGACAAAGTAAGAAAGATGCCACTGCAGTATTCAGAAAAGGACAAGAATTAGAAAGAATGAGGGTCCTGGGTTGGGAGGAAGGCAATGGTTGCCAACCTCCCATCTCTAGAGACGCAGCATCCCGGCAGCCCAAGCTCGGCCCCACCCGCTCCGCCCCGCCCCCGGCCTCGCGCCGCCCCCCGCTCTCCCAGGCCGCCGGGGCTCGCGGGGCTCGCTGCCCATCACCCTCCGGCCCGACCCGGGTTGCGCCGCGTCGGTGTCGCAGCTGCCTGTGGCGCGACGGAAAAGTCCAGGCCTCGGCTCCCAGCGGCCCTCGGACCGCGTTGCGAAGAACGACCGCGGCGAAGCCCGCAGCCCCAGTCCGCCGCACCTGCCTAGGCCCCAAGACGGCCTCAGCCAGAGCCTCTGTGGGTCCGGGAACTCCAGCCGCCTCTGCTCCCCACCCAGGCCCAGTCCTCGCCCCCAACTAGGCCCGCCCCGCTCCCTCCCCACAGACCCGGCCCGGCGCCCTCGGTCCCCTCCCTCAAAGGCCCGCGCCTCCCTCCGCCCGCCGACTCCGACCGCCCCATCTCAACCGACCCCCTCCCCGCCTCAGCGCCGGCCCCGACCCCTCTTCCGGCCCAGCCGGCCCCCGGCCGCGCGCCCCCGTTACCGGGAATATGGCGGCGGCGGCGGCGAGTCCGGACTAGGCCCGAAGCGCGCGAACCGCTCTCCGCCTCAGGTCCCGCCCCCCCGCCGCCGGCGTCACACGCACCGCCACTTCCGCCATACGCAGGGACGTATTTTCCGGCTCAGCTCCTCCGCGGCGGCCGAAGTTGCTTGGACCGGCGGCCGGGAGGTCCCGGAAGTGGCCAGGCAGCAGATTTCCGGTGCAGGTTCGGAAAAATGGCTGTGGTCACCGTTTTCCCTACTGTGGCGCGGGTGAGCAGAGCGGAGGTTCTAGGTTAGGGTCTGGGCAGCGGGGACTGAGTTTTGTCGTCCTGTGTGGTCTTGGAGTCCGTGGGGAGCGTCCAACTGCCCGATAGCCTAGGGCAAGGGCAGACCCAAGGAGAGGCCGATCTTGCAGCTCAGGAAAGTCGGGTCCATCCCTTGGTGAACCTCCTGTGTGCTGGTCTGGTAATACCTGGTTGAACGATCAATCATCGTGTGAGTCCCAATGCAGATCTCTCCTATGTCCCAGGGGGAGTTAGCCCAGCTGCCTCTGGGCGCCCTTCTCCCTGTTCTTAAGTCTTGTTTAATGTCTTTCGTGGTTTCATAGTATCTTGAGCTCTTTATTCTTTGTTTTGTTTATAATTGACACATGATAATTATACATGTTTATGGGGTACAGTGTGATGTTTCAACACGTGTGTACGTTGTACAGTGATCAAATCAGGGTAGTTAGCATGTCCATCACCTCAAACCTTTATCATTTATCTCTGGCAATAACTTTCAAGATCTTCTTTTCTAGCTATCATTGTTATTACCTATAGTCTCCCTACCATGAACTTATTCTTTCTAAATGTAACTTTGTACCCGTTGGCCAACCTCTCTCTTCCTTCTCCTCCATCTTTATTCATTTTTAATATAGGCCTTCACCACTATAAACTTCCCTGTAAGTACTGCTTTTATTGCATAGCATTTTTTTATATGTTGGGTTTTAGGTTTTTTTCTTAAAGGTATGTTCTAATTTCCCTTTTGATTTCTGGTTTGACCCATTGGTTGTTCAAGAGTATGTTGTTTAATTTCCACGTATTTGTGAGTTTTCCAGTTTTCTTTTTTAATTTCCAGTTTTATCCTATTCTGGTTAGAAAATGTACTTGGTATGGTTTCAGTCTTAAATTTGTTAAGTTTTGTTTTATGATATAACATGTAATCTATCCTGGAGAATGAATGTTTCCTGTGTATTTAAGAAGAATGTGTATTCTGTTGTTGGGTGGAATGTTCTATATATGTGTTAGGTCCATTTGGTCCATAGTGTTCTTCAAGTCCTCTATTTCCTTACTGATTTGCTATCTGGATGTTATATACATTACTGAAAGTGCATTGTTAAAATCTATGATTGTGTTTCTCCCTTTGGGTCTGTCAATATTTGCTTCATATATTTGGATGTTCTTATGTTTGGTGCAGATATATTTATAATTGTTGTACCTTCCTAGCAAGTGACCGTTTTATCATTATGTAATGTCTGTTTTTATGTCTTGTGACAATTTTTGCCTTAAAGTCTCTTGTCTGCTATACGTATGGCTATCCCTGCCCTCTTTTGGTTACCATTTGTATGAAATATCGTTTTTCATCCTTTCATTTTCAGCCTGCATGTGTCCTTAAATCTGAAGTGAGTCTCTTAACTGGGCACAGTGGCACATACCTATAATCCCAGCTACTTGGGAGGCTGAGGCAGGAGGATCTCCTGAGCCCAAGAGTTCAAGTCCAGCCTGGGCAACATAGCAAGCCCTCATACTCTCATATCTCTCTTTCTCTTTCTGTCTGTCTGTCTTTCTTTCCTTTTCCCTTTTTTTTTTTTTTTTTAAATACAGGGTCTTGCTGTGTCACCTAGGCTAGAGTGCAGTGGTGTCATCATAGCTCACTGCAACCCAAATTCCTGGACTTGAGTGATCCTCCTGTCTCAGCCTTCCAAGTAGCTGAGACTACAGGTGCACACCACGCTGTGCTAATTTTCCTCTTTTTTTGTAGAGATGGGATCTCACTATGTGGCACAGGCTTTTCTCAAACTCCTGGCCTCAAGTGATCCTCCCACCTTGGCCTCCCAAAGTGCTAGGATTACAGACTTGAGCCACCATGCCTGGCCTCATGTCTTAAAAAATAATAATAATAAAAAATAAAGTTAGTCTTTTGTATAACATATAGTAGATCTTGGGGGGGGGGTTTATTGTTGTTGCTGTTATTTGTTTGTTTATTTTTGAGACAGAGTCTTGCTCTGTTGCCTGGGCTAGAGTGCTGTGGCATCAGCCTAGCTCACAGCAACCTTAAACTCCTGGGCTTAAGCAATCCTTCTGCCTCAGCCTCCCAAGTAGCTGGGACTACAGGCATGTGCCACCATGCTCGGCTAATTTTTTCTATATATTTTTAGTTGTTGGCTAATTTCTTTCTATTTTTGGTAGAGATGGGGTCTCACTCTTGCTCAGGCTGGTCTGGAACTCCTGACCTGGAGCGATCCCCCCATCTCCCCCCACCTCGGCCTCCCAGAGTGCTAGGATTACAGGTGTGAGCCAGCGCGCCTAGCCTTGGGTTTTTTTGTTTTTTTTTTTAATCCATTCAGCTACTCTATGTCTTTTGACTGGAGAATTTAATCCATTTATATTTAAAGTAATTACTGATATAGGGAAATACAGTCGTCCCCCAGGATGACTGTTCTAGGACCCCTCATGGATACCAAAATCCATGGATGCTCAAGTCTCTTATATAAAATGGCATGGTATTTGCATAACACCTATGCACATTCTCTTGTATACTTTAAACCATTTCTAGATTATTTATAATACCTAATACAATGTAAATGCTATGTAAATAATTATTATATTGTGTTGTTTTTATTGGTATAATCTTTTATTGTTGTGTTGTTATTTGCTATTTGTTTGGTTTTTCCTCCAAGTATTTCAGTCCATGGTTGAATCCACAGTTGGTTGAATCTGCAGATGTGGAATGCCAGTTGTACCTTTGCCATTTTGTAAATAGTTTTCTGTCTGTTTTGTAGCTTTTTTGTTCCTTTTTTCTCCTCTTACTGTCATCCTTTGTGTTTTGTTGATTTTTTTTTTGTAGTGACATGGTTTAGTTAATTTCTCATTTTCTTTTGTGTGTCTTCTGCAGGAATTTTCTTTGTGGTTACCATGGCACTTACCTAAAACATCTTACAACAATCTATTCTAAGCTGATATCTACTTAATTTCCATTACATACAAAAACTCTGCTCTTTTACTCCCCCGTTTGTGTTATTAAGGTCAAAATTATATCTTTTTATGTTATATATCAATTAAATTCCTAGAGTTGTGGTTAGTTTTATACTTTTGTCTTTAAGTTCTATGCCAAAATTAGAAGTAGTGGTATGCAAGTGATTTGCTTACTGATATTAGAATATTATAGTATTTTGTGTTTGTATTTGCCTCTGCCAGTGAGCTTTATATTTTTATTTGCTTACATATATCACTGTCTAGCATCCTCTCACTTCAACTTGAAGGACTCCCTTTTTTTTTTTTGAGACAGAGTCTTACTGTGTTGCCCGGGCTAGAGTGCTGTGGCGTCAGCCTAGCTCACAGCAACCTCAAACTCCTGGGCTCAAGTGATCCTTCTGCCTCAGCCTCCGGAGTAGCTGGGACTACAGGCATGTGCCACCATGCCTGGCTAATTTTTTTTATATATGTTTAGTTGGCCAATTAATTTCTTTCTATTTTTAGTAGCGATGGGGTCTCTCTCTTGTTCAGGCTGGTCTCGAACTCCTGACCTTGAGCGATCCACCTGCCTCAGCCTCCCAGAGTGCTAGGATTAGAGGCGTGAGCCACCACACCTGAGCCACCGCACCTGGCCGAAGGACTCCCTTTAACATTTCTTATAAGGCAGGTTTTGCTTATCTGGAAAAGTCTTTATTTCTCCTACATTTTTGAAGGACAATTTTGCTGATATAGTATATTTGGTTGGCATTTCTTTCTCTCAGCATTTTGAATTATATCATCCCATTCATAGCCAGCAAGGTTTCTACTGAGAAATCCTCTGATAGTCTCAGGGGGCTCTCTTATATGTGATGAGTTGCTTTTTCTTGCTGCTTTCTAAATTCTCTTTGTCTTTGATTTTTGACAATTTCTTTCAGGAAAAATAATTACCTTTAACAAAGGATATAAATGCAAAACAGAGAAGCATACTTTTTAAAACAAAATAATTATAAAGATATTCATGGCTGCAAAGATAACTCAAATATATGCTGTTATAAATTTCCAGTGATAATTTCTTTTTTTTTTTTTTTTTTTTGAGACAGAGTCTCGCTTTGTTGTCCAGGCTAGAGTGAGTGCCGTGGCGTCAGCCTAGCTCACAGCAACCTCAAACTCCTGGGCTCGAGTGATCCTTCTGCCTCAGCCTCCCGAGTAGCTGGGGCTACAGGCATGCGCCACCATGCCCGGCTAATTTTTTTTTTTTTTTTTTAGTTGGCCAATTAATTTCTTTCTATTTATAGTAGAGACGGGGTCTCGCTCTTGCTCAGGCTGGTTTTGAACTCCTGACCTTGAGCAATCTGCCCGCCTCGGCCTCCCAAGAGCTAGGATTACAGGCGTGAGCCACAGCGCCCGGCCGGTGATAATTTCTTTAATGTAGCTCATACCAGTGTCACACAATTCCCAGGACTCATGGATCCATGCCACACCCCTTCTGGAATGCTGCCTTGAAACTAACCGAAAAAAATGGGTGAAATTTGGCTAAGATAATAAGAGATCCCAAATAGAATAATTTCCCTATGCTGCTGCTTCTGGTCCTCCCTATCTTCTTTCATTCTGTAGAAATTGCTTAACCCACTATATTATTTTAGTAGAGAAAGTACATCTTAACTGTGGTTATTTTTAATTCTTTGTCAGATATTCTTATACCTCTGTTTCTTTAAGGTTAGTTGCTGAAGATTTATTTTGTTCCTTTAATTGGACCATGTTTTCCTGTTTATTTGTGTACCTTGTAACTGTGTACTAGAATCCCTGCATTTAAAAAACCAGCTATCTCTCCCAGTCTTTATGGACTGTCTTCATACTAGTGATTGACTTTCGCCAATCAGCCTGGTTAAAGATTCTGAGGGCCTCTCAATCCTTTTCTTTTCCTTCTTTTTTATTTTTTGAGACAGAGTCTCACTTTGTTGCCCAGGCTAGAGTGAGTGCTGTGGCATCACCCCAGCTCACAGCAACCTCAAACTCCTGGACTCAAGCAATCCTCAGCCTCCCGAGTAGCTGGGACTACAGGCATACGCCACCATGCCTGGCTGATTTTTTCTATATATATATATGTTAGTTGGCCAATTAATTTCTTTTTATATATAGTAGAGACGGGGTCTCACTCTTGCTCAGGCTGGTTTCAAACTCCTGACTTCAAGCAGTCCGCCCTCCTCGGCCTTCCAGAGTGCTAGGATTACAGGCGTGAGCCACCGCGCCCAGCCTCAATCCTTTTCTGAGAATGTGTCTTCTCTGTATTTGTGGGTGTAAATTCCCAGTTAGAGGGATTTGCTGGTTCCTTTTTCAGAGCTTATAATTTTTTGTTCCCTGTGGTATCTGTGTGTAATACTGCAGTTTCTCTGGAGTTGTCACAAGCCACCCAGCTCTCTAATTCAGAAGGGCCTTCAGACTTCTAGAGTTTGCCAGGTTCCATCAGTGTTCTAAGCTGGGCAAGACAGAAACCAGTCCCCAGGCAGCTCCCCAAAAATCACTGCCACAAGGAGAGGCCACCAAACAATGTTGGCCTTTTTTTGCTGTTTCAGGAGTCCTCTGGATCAGCAGCAAACCACTCAGGTCTTTTGTTGTCAGTGGCTCCCCAGCATCTAGAGTATCCTAGGTCCTGTCAAGTGCTTCAAGACAGAAACCAGTCTCATGGGCAGCCCCCTGACAAGCTGGAACAATGGATGCACACTCCAACTCTTTCCTTGCCCAGGGAGAAGCTGGGAGGTAGGGGTTTTCTCCTTGTTCTGCACTAAGCCAGGGATGGGCACTATGATGAGTGAGTGCTTGTTAGTCTAAACTGTCACTCTTGTTCTCCATTGCCCTTGACATGGTGCCCTCTTTTGTTAGCAGTTGGATTCAGGCAAGACAGAAACCAGCCCCTTGGGTGACCTCCCCCCTCCCCCCCCCCAAAAAAAAGTCTGAACATTGGACATACTTTTCTGTTTTCTCTTTCCCTTCCCAGGTAGAAGGCTGGGAGTTTTCTCATGATCATGCCACGCTGAGCCTGGGTAGGGGTGGAGGGACTGTGGCCAGTGAGTGCTGCAAACTTTTATGCTGGCTTTGATGCAGCTGGTTTGCCCTCCTCTGGGGTGCAGGAGCCTCTTGACTGGTTTCTGGATTTCTCACAAAGGGAATTAAACTGTGTATTCTTGTTGAGTCAGTGTCTCCAACAGAGGGAGAAGGGTCTGGGGCTTCCTGTTCTACCATCTTGCTGATGATAGATGGTCACCGCCTTCACATCTCATCTTGGTAATTTATTCCCTTCTCTAGATTTGGAGCCTTTGGGGGATTAGGGACTATGCTATCTGTATGCTCAGGGTTTATGGGTGAGTGAATAGAATACAAACCATACTGTAAGAATTTTAAGGGAATACAAAGGAAAGAGAAATTATTTCTGCTGGGTTAATTTCTGGAAGGGCACTGGTTAAGAACACGTTTGTAGTCAGGACTGGGTTTTAATCCTAACCACAATTCTTATTTGGACAATTTGGGGTCAATTATTTAACCCCTCTGAGCCTCTGTTTCCTTGGCTGTAAAGTGGGGACAGTATCAGCCTCACTTCTTAAAGATGAACTGGGATTGAATGCATTTAGCACCTAGTAAGTATTGGGTAAATGACAGTCATGATAGTTGTTATTATAAAGATGTTTGTGGTTTGTTTCAGATGCTTGCTCTGTCAAGGCGCAGCGTGTTTTCTCCTTTGCTTGGTACCACAGTGTTCAGACGCTTCTACAGAGGTGACAGCCCAACAGATTCTCAAAAAGACATGATTGAAATCCCTTTGCCTCCATGGCAGGAGAGAACTGATGAATCCATAGAAACCAAAAGAGCCCGCCTACTCTATGAGAGCAGAAAAAGGGGAATGTTAGAAAACTGCATTCTCCTTAGGTATGGGAGTAGGAGTCTTGTTACCACTTCTCTTTGACTAGAGGCAGCCTTTTCAACCTCTTTCTCTTTCTCATTTTTAGCCTCTTTGCTAAAGAACATCTGCAGCACATGACAGAGAAGCAGCTGAACCTCTATGATCGTCTGATTAACGAGCCTAGTAATGACTGGGATATTTACTACTGGGTCACAGGTACTGGGCATGATAAGCAGCATTTTGTGAAAACAGGATGACTTAGGCCGATTTGAGTCTGGAATTATATCCTCGAAAATTTTGTTTCTTTTATTCATGCAATACACTCAACCCAGACACTGTTCAGATTTTTCCAAAGTGTCTAAAATTTATTTTATTGGTTAAGGTTCTTTGTTTGCAAGACAGAATAGAAGCCTATCTGTCTCACTTAAGCACGAAGGGGAATATAGGGGATGGGTTTGTGAAGCTCATGAAAGGGTGAAATTAGAGCCAAGCTAGGAATGGAGTGGAACCAGACAGCTCTGTAAGTCTGTGTAGCAAGAGCTCCTCAATAGTCTCATTCAGTCATTGCCTTTACAAGGAATGAATTTTAACTGCATAGTTAGGATTAGCTTTGGCTATGAGTAAATCCAAAACAATAATGACTTAAACAAGATAGAATTATCTTTTCTCTTTCTCATGACAGAAGTCCAGAGTTGGGTACTCCAGAGCTCATAGAGGGGCTTCAAAGAGTTCTGAGGTCCAGGTTTCTCCTGACTTGCTACTCCCTCGTCCTCATCAGGGTTTGTCTGCCTCATGATCCAGGATGGCTAGTGAAGCTCTATCTGGCATGTCCATATTTCAGCCAGGAAAAAAGTTTGGAGAAGAGCATGCCCCTTCATTGTGGATCTTTCTTGGGAAATTATACATCATACTTCCACTTATTTTCCATTGACCACAGCTTAGTTACATGGCTACATGAAGCCATAGGGAAAAAAAAAATACAGTCTATTCCATGTGCCTAGCTACATTGGGGATTCTATTAACAATGAAAAATAGAATGGATAGTAGGGGACATCTCATTCTTCCCACACTCTGGGTCTCCTTTTTTTTTTTTTTTTTTGAGACAGAGTCTTGCTTTGTTGCCCAGGATAGAGTGCCTTGGAATCTGCCTAGCTTATGGCAACCTCAAACTCCTGGGCTCAAGCAATCCTACTGCCTCAGCGTCCGTCTGGAGTAGCTGGGACTACAGGCATGCATCACATGCCTGGCTAATTTTTTCTATATATATCAGTTAGCCAATTAATTTCTTTCTATTTATAGTAGAGACGGGATCTCACTCTTGCTCAGGCTGGTTTCAAACTCCTGACCATGAGCAATCTGCCCGCCTCAGCCTCCCAAAGTGCTAGGATTACAGGCGTGAGCCACTGCGCCCGGCCTGGGTCTCCTATTTTTGTGTCTTTACTCGGTATTTGTGTCAGAAAGTGGAAGTCATTCTGTAGGGTTCTAAGAATAAAGAGTGATAATACAGGGTCTAGAGGCACATGCAGTCATTGGAAAGCCCACAAAATCTAAAATATTTACTGTCTGGCCCTTTACAGAACAAGGCCCATACTTAAACCTGACTTAATGCATTTCAGATTCATTCATGTTGTTTGTGTCATCAGTTCATTCTTCTGTATTGTTGAGTGATATCCCATTGTGGGGATGACCACCGTCTGTTGGTCCATTGATAAGTTGAGGGACGTTGGGACTGTTTCTAGTTTTAGGTGATTATGAATAAAGCAACTATAAACATTTGCATACAGATTTTTGTGGATATAGGTTTGACTTTTTCTTGGATGAATACCCAGGAGAAGGACTTGCTAGGTCATGGTAAGTGTATATTTAAATTTACAACAAGGTTTTTCTGTAATGGGCCAGATGGTAAATATTTTAGGCTTTGCAGGCCATACAGTCTCTGTTATATCCACTCAACTGCGTCTTTGTAGCATGCCAGCAGCCATAAACAATAGGTATACAAATGAGTGTGACTGTGTTCCAATAAAACTTTATTTATGGCACTGAAATTTAAATTTATGTAATTTTCATGTGCCATGAAATATTCTTTTGATTTTTTTTTTCTCCCAGTCATTAAAAAGTCATTCTTAGTTCAGAGGCCCTGTAGAAATAGGCAACAGGCCAGACTTTGCTTACTTCTGTGCTAAGTGAAAAAGGTTGGACTAAAAGAGTACATACTGTGTGATTCCATTTATGTGATATTCTGAAAAAGGCAAAACTGTAGGGACGGAAAACAGATCAGTGATTGCCAGAGAATGGGTGTGAAGGGAGGAGTTGATATTCTACATCTTCCAGCACTTGGTATTATCAGGGTTCTGTTTTTAGCCATTCTAAGAAGTTTGTATTGGTATATCACTGTAGTTTTAATTGGCATATCCCTAATGACTAAAAATATTGAGGATCTTTTCAAGCGTTTATTTGTCATTCATATATCGTTGGCGATGTGTCTTTTCAACTCTCCCCCATCCCTTTTTTAAATTGGGTTTTCCTATTATTGAGTTTTGAGTGTTCTTAGTTTATTCTAGATTAAAGTCCTGTATCAGATATGTGTCTTACAAATTCTTTCTCCCTGCCTATGGCTTGCTTGTCTTTTCAATTTCTTGCATTGTCTGTCAAAGAGCAGTTTTTAATTTTGGTGAAGTACAGTGTATCAATTGTGTACAGTGGATTGTACTTTTGTTATTGTGTCTTAGGAACTCTGCCAAATCCAAAGTCACAAAGATTTTCTGTTTTCTAGGAACTTTATAGTTTTAGAATCAACAGTTTAATATTTATCAAACAAAAAACTACTTAGATTTTGATTGGCGTTGTTAACACAATAGATCAATAGGTCAGTCTTCCTGACATGAGCATGATATACCTTCCATTTATTCAGTATTTAGGTCTTCTTTGATTTGTTTCATCAGTGTTAGTTATCTGTTGTTGCATAACAAATTACTCCAAAACCTAATGGCTTAAAGCAACCCGCATATATTATCTCACAGTTTCTGTGGGTCTGGAATCCAGGTGTGACCTAGCTGGATCCTCTGCCTGGCGGTCTGTCACAAGGCTGCAGTCAAGTATGCTGTCAACCCACCGTCTGGAGGCTCATGTGGAGGTTTAACTAGGGAAGGATCTGGTTTCAGGTCTTTGACTGAAGTCCTTAGTTCCTTGCTGGCTATTGCCTAGAGGCCACCCTCTGTTTCTTATCACAAAGACTTCTCCCACATGGCAGCTTGCCACCATCAAAGCACAGAAACTGAGAATGCAATAGAGAGAGTCTCCTAGCAAGAAGGAAGCCACAGTGTTTTGTAACCTAATCACAGAAGTGACATTCTGTTACATTGCCGTGTTCTATTGGTTAGAATCAAGTCACTAAGTACAGCCCACACTTGAGGAAGGGATTATCCAAGGGCGTGATACCAGGAAGTAGAGATCGTTGGGGGCCATTCTCCGGGTGTGCCACAGTCAACATTTTATAGTTTTTTAGCATATTTTGCACATATTTTGTTGATTTATACTGAGGTATTCCATATGAGGTATTTCATATGTTTTGGTTCTATTGTAAATGGTACTTTAAGAGATATTAATTTCTAATTGTTGATTGCTAGAATGTAGAAGTACAATTGATTGTAGAAAATACTGACTTTGTATACTGTGGCCTTGCTAAACTCAGTTTAGAAGACTTTTTTAGATTGTTTGGTATTTTCTATATAGACAGTTGTGTCCTCTGTAATAGAGGTGGTTTTCTTTATTCCTTTCCAATCTGTATGTCTTTTTAATCTTGTATTTGCCTTATTGCACTGTCCAGGACCTCTAGCTTAATGTCAGATGGTAGTGGTGAGAGCAGGTATCTTTGCCCTATTCCCAAGAGTTGATGGAAAGTATTTTATCTTCTCTCTCTCTCTTTCTCTATTTTTTTATTGCTTAAATCAGAGTCTCTGTATCCCCAAGCTGGTCTCGAACTCCTGGCCTCAAGGAATCCTTCTTCCTCAGCCTCCCAAGTAGTTGGGATTACAGGTGTGAGCCACTGTGCCCAGCCAGTCTTTCATCATTAAGTATAATATTAGCTGTAGGTTAGTTGTAAATGCCTTTTATCAGTTTGGGAGTTTCATTCTGTTTCTAATATTCAAGTGTTATCATGAATAAAACATGAGATTTGATTTTGTCAGGTATTTTCTATGCATCTGGCAAAATAATCATTTCTTTTTTTTTTTTTAATTTTTTTTTCTATATATGTTAGTTGTCCAATTAATTTCTTTCTATTTATAGTAGAGACGGGGTCTCGCTCTTGGTCAGGGTGGTTTCGAACTCCTGACCTCGAGCAATCCGCCCGCCTCGGCCTCCCAGAGTGCTAGGATTACAGGCGTGAGCCACCGCGCCCGGCCAAAAATAATCATTTCTTTAATGATATGATTTTTTTCCCCTAAGTTTATTGATAGGATGAATTTTTGATTGATTTTCAAATCTCAACTTTGCGTTCCCAGGATAAACACCACATTGTCATATATATATGCATATGTCATATATATACATACACACATATATATGGATTTATGTGTGTGGGTATATATGTGTGTGTGTGTATATAGGTTCTGTTTGCTAATACTTTGAAGAAGATCTTTGTGTCTGTCTTTATGAAGGATATCGTTACATAGCTTCCTTGTAATGTTGTCATTTATTGTTTGTTTGTTTATGTTTTGAGACAGAGTCTCACTCTGTCGCCTGGGCTAGAGTGCCATGGCGTCAGCCTAGCTCACAGCAACCTCAAAATCCTAGGCTCAGGCGATCCTCCTGCCTCAGTCTCCTGAGTAGCTGGGACTACAGGCATGTGCCACCATGCCTGGCTAATTTTTTCTATATATTTTTAGTTAGCCAATGAGTTTCTTTCTATTTTTAGTAGAGACGGGGTCTCGCTCTTGCTCAGGCTGGTCTCGAACTCCTGAGCTCAAATGATCTGCCCACTTCGGCCTCCCAGAGAGCTAGGATTACAGGTGTGAGCCACTGCGCCCGGCCTGTCATTTGTTTTTGATCAGGGTAATGCTGGCTTCATAAAATGAGTTGTGAAGTACTCTTTCTACTTCCATTTTCTGGAAGAATTTATGTAGAATTGGTATTATTTCTTCCTTAAATGCTTGATAGAATTTGCTAGTGATCTGGGCCTGAGTTTTTTGTTTGTCAGAAAATTTAAACTGTAAAGT